ATGAGGCTAACACAGAGCACTGGAGAATTCGAAACTGGAGTATTGTAAGGTTTGCAATTATTTAACACTATTATAATTTTATCTGATCATATCTTAAATTTGCTTTTAAGGTTTAAAAGATGAAGGAATTCTAAGAGTTCCAGGTTCTTTTCCWCGAGTGAAAGCAATCAAGGAAGAAATTGAAGAAACCTTCAATGAAGGTTCATTCAGTTGGAATGGCAACAGACCCCATGACGTTGTATCATTATTAAAGCAATTTTTAAGGTAACGTTAATTACCATATTTACCCATGTTTAAGCCGCTCTCCTAGATAAGCCGCAACCCGAGTTTTAGGAACGTTTTTGAGGAAAAAAAAGACGGAAAATAAACTTTTCTCTGTTTGATCGCCACTTGCGAACACAGCTTTCTTTGATTTTAAAGTGCTATTCCACTGCTCGATTTCCGCCATCCATGCATTTCGTATCTACAATGTACATTGTAGTTATATTAGATAATCAACTTGGCATATGTTACACTAACAATAAAAATTATTAACTGATGCTGTCTATTTTACAGGGAGTTGCCATTTCCTCTGCTCACTCATGAATACCAACCAACGTTTGCTTCTGTAGAAAGTAAGTTTRATTAGAAAAGATAGTGATAACTAGTGTGAGCTGCTGGTGCTTCTCAAGAAACAGTTGTGTAAAAAGATAAATTTTATGAACTTAAAGGAGCTGATGAAATACCTTTTACTGACTTTTCGGACATTAAGCCTTCGTCAGAGTAAAATGAAGGATTAATGTTCAAAACATCAGTAAGTTGTTTCCATACTTTTTTAAGGTGTGTTACATTGTATTTTATCTTTTTACACAACTGTTTAAAGGGACACTGTCAATGGCACGCATGCGCGAGTAAGCTTCAAAACACTAGGCTAGTGTTTTCAAGTTTATGACTCCTAGTTGACGCGACGTAAATCAGCTCGTAAACGTAAACAGATCTAGAATATTCCAATTGAAAGTGTGTCAAAAGCACCACAAAATGATTTACCTCGAAGGTAATACTTTCAAAGTCCGTTAGAGGTGAGACTGTTACTGCGCATGTCATGCATTGACAGTGTCCCTTTAATAATTAAGAAACTTTAACTATCCAACTATTATGTATAATATTGTCAGTATAATTCCAATAATCAAATTCCATGTTTTGTAGATATCCCTGAGAGAAGACAACAGTTGCAAGCCTTGAATCTACTTATTCTCCTTTTGCCATCTGTGCATAGAGACTGTCTCAGAGTAAGTCATTCACTAGTCACAATATTATGGACTATCACTGTACGTTTGTCATGATTGAGTGTCCACATTGTAGGGGGTCGAGAATTCACGAATGATCGTGACGATCATAAGCCCTTAATTCATGACAGTTTTACAATGAAATTGAAAATAAATTCACAAATTATGGTGGGTTAACACAAAATGCAAGACATGAGAAAAACATGTTAAAATAATTATAATTTCTTTACTTCAACAAAGGATTAAAGGGCTACTTGGATGAAAAATGGCAAAACACTGAAAAAGGCACAGAAMATTTCTTGTAGACTTATCAAAAAGATCCTACATGTGTAATCACGAAGCAATGAATTTAAGATATTGATACAATTTCTTAGGACTTTTGTTACAAGATTTTCCATCCTTTTGTTCTATCTTGGTTTAGTCAAAAAAAATTCTGCTTTGGAATGACTCCATAACAAAACTTTTCTCTGAGAAAGTATTATAATAATAGGTATATATGAGTCATATACAGCCTTTTGCAAAAATTATGAGAATTGTTGAAATACCTAAATATCATAATATCGAGTGTATGATGGGTAATCCCGTGCGATGCCCTTAGTCCCTTGTCTTTGTAGTTTAGTTTTTATTTTTGGCGACAGACTTATCAATAGTTCTGAACAATTTCTCGATGTCAACAATGAATTATTCTAGCAAACCCTCGTGTTCCAGACAATATATGGATATGGATATTATGATATTTAGATATTTAGACAATTMTCATAATTTTTGCAAAAGGCTGTATTTGAATTATGCAGGGTTCTGAAATTAGTGCTTCTTCGTGCAAGTTCTGAAGCGTCAGTGAGGTGTTTCACCTACTTTTTACGGTCACCATGTTAATTTTATCTTTTTATACATTTTTTTACAATTCGGGTTAAGGTTAGGGTCCTTTAGAAACACGGACGCAGTAAGGCACCATGTCAATAATTATTATATGTGCTTAGACGAAACAGCAAAATTCTCTGGTCAGCAAACACACCACATAACAACGCATACTGATGCTTGATGAGAAATGACCTCASCATTATTTCTTTATATTGCAGATATTACTATTATTTCTCAAGAAAGTCATTTCCAACGAGAAACAAAACAAGATGAATCTCAACAATGTGGCCATGATAATGGCGCCTAATTTATTCCTATTTAAATCACAAACTGATGTCAATGAGATCAGAATTGCTCAAGGAGCTGTTAATGTTGTTAGAATGTTGCTGAAATATCAAAATATATTATGGACGGTAAGGGGAAATTTTTGTYAATATAAATTATAATTGTTAAAAGCAATTTTACTATGCAACAACATTATTAATACTAACTATGACTGCAAATTGTGATAAAAAAAAATTAGAAAAAAATTCAATAACAAAGAAAGCAGTGAATGGAAATATTCAATAAATAACTGTTAACAGTTATTTATTGAATATTTCCATTCATTGCTCTCTTTAAAAGTAGCAGTATTTAATCCACTGTATCTAAAATTTGTTTTCTCTGTCTTTCTTTCATCCCACTGACTTTTATTCTTTCATCCCATTTTAGTTTTATTTTTTCCTTCATACTTTTCTTTTTCACTTCCCTTCCTTCCTTTACAGCACCTTACTTCCCTGCCCCCATAATTTTCAATTCATTGTTCATATGTCCCTTCTTTTTTTATTTTCTCCGCTTTTTACTTTTGTTCCTTTTCCTTTCAATTCTCCTCCAGTCTCTGCACTTTCTATTCATCACTTCCTTCTCTACCTTTATTTTTTTCTGGGTTCTCCCTACTCCTTGAAGTCCTTGACATCTTTGTTTATTTTTCTAGATACCAGGTTTTATGGTCATGCAAGTTCGTTATTTATATGAAGCTGAGGGAAACAAGAGAATCAAGGATGCAAAGGCTGTGAGTGTATTATTCAGTTTAATATGCCATTTATCTTTTACTATGCAAACTGTACATACATGTAAGTTAAAATTGCCTTATTTCATTGTGACTTCACAGTTTGTTTACATCAAAAAGGGCGCTCAAAAATAGTGGATATTGGACCCATTTATATGTTTATCTGCCTCCTAAAAAGTAGAACTTCTGCTCAATGAATTGTGTTTTCATGATATATAGCTATTCAAAGATTGTTGTTGGTCGATAAAATGGCAAATGTCAATGGTCAAACAGTGATTGCACTACCAGAAGTAGCCGTAGGTTTTGCTTAGTGAAATGAATAAACAGTATGATGGTCTGTAGTAAACATTGGCACCTATTAGTCTCCATTTCTAATGTCAATCCAGTGTAACCATAGTCCCTTTCGGTCATGCAATCTTCCTTCGACRATCTGACACCTTTTGCCRTTCTCCCGGACAACGTTGTTGAAATAGCTGTATATCATGATATCRTGATGGTATAAATGATTGCTCGATATATTCCTTTTTTTTGATATACAGTAACTCTTATCACCTATTGCAGCCACCATCCTTATAAGCATCAAATAAAACAAGAGTAATGTTTTGATATGATTTTAAAAGATAAAACCAACATTCTCTGTGTTTTTGCTGCCATCATGAATTTTTCTCTAGAAGCTGGAAAATGCTTTGGATTGACATTTAAAATGTTTTGATCATCCCCTCAGTAATTCCCAGGGATTGAGAGGTCATGGTCTTGACTGACTAATGCATAACTTATTGTCAATTTGACTTGTAGGTTCGTAAACTATTATTAAAGCGTAAGGAAGGRCCTGGCGGGTCTCCACAGAAGAAACACTCGATAACAGATCCTACTCCCATTGATCTATTTGAGGTAAGTAATAAGAGATGAAAACACTTATTAATGATCTAAAAATAATGAATAAAGAAGTGCATTGTGCAGAGCACATGATTTGCAATCGCAGTTGCAATTGCAATATTGCTACATGAAGTACCATCAAATAWAAGAAATGAATATTGTTTTTGTCTATTTTTCACAAGGCCGACAAAGCCAATAATATTATCAGAGTTAAAGCACCCATGTTGAACAAGTTTGCCATGGCTATTCAGTTGATGGCTGGAACGACTGCTGGAGATATTGTTGAYAAGTTCAAAAGACAACCTGAGGGAAATTCAAAGCAAGCTCGTCAACAACATAAATCTCAAGCTTACAGTAATTGTGTCAATCCACATGACGAGAACAAATTTGCACATGATWSTCATTACTTGTTTGAAGTCGGTGGTAACATAGGTAAGTTTATTGATTAGAAATTAGTTGGGTGTTAATACAATTTACAATGACAAAATGTATTATTTGTAAGCTATTTTATTGAAGGGGCATGTTTGCTTTCTTTGACTGTGGTCATTGATATYAATTTCAGCCTCARCCAATATTTCTTCATATCATACTCATCATCAACAAATAATTCTTCATATCATACACAGGCTCAGCCAATAATTCTTCATATCATACTCAGCCTCAACCAATAGTTTTCATATCATACTGTGTCAACCAATAGTTCTTCATATCATACTCATATCAGTACTCATATCTCATACCCATATCAGACTCAACCAATAAATTCTTCATATTACGATACCCAGTCTTGATCAATAAGTTTCACCAATAATTCTTCATAATATCAAGGATTATTGATGATTAAATGTAGTTGGGCTTAAACAGTCATTTATATCTCAATTCACTTAATAGGTGAGAGACGTCTAGACCATGACACCAACATGATTGCCCTGTATAAGGTCAACCCACACGCTGAATGGATCATCAAACCACTGAGTACAAAAGATGATGATTAGAATTACAAATTACTGAAATTAGCTAATAGTATATCAATTAAATAGGATGTTTTTTGCAATTTATGCATACACATGGTATAATTATTATTATTATTCTCCAGGGCCGGGTTGTTCCAAGCTGTATTATTGTTAATCCAGGGTTAACTCCATAATATAGGTTTTTAACTTTTAACTCGGGATTAGCAGTAATCGAGTTTTGAACAACCCAGTCCATAGCCTCCTTTAGCAGCCCCCCAGTGTYGTCACGCAACGCATGGGGAGAAGCGTTGCRTGAYGACACAGGGGCGGCTGCTAAAGAGGCTACCCAGTCCAGTACATTGTAGCCTCTTGAGCAGGCATTTTTAGTGGTTCAGATCTTGGAACAAAAAGCTWAAAATGTCCACTGCTGAGAATACAGAAAATGATGATGATTTATTATATTTCATGGATGATCAAATGATCAAACAATTTTCAGAAATTGTTTTAAGTTTGACTTCAAAAGACTTTTTCATAATCGTAGGAATATATTTAAGGTAAAGTACCCTTATTACTATAATAATAGTGTAAAATGTACAAACGATAAATTCAGTGCGTGATTAAAACTAGTTTTGTTCAAAAACCTCTTCAGTTCACTAATGAAAGCTTGTTACATTTACAAATAAAAACAAACAAACACTAATGAACATTTAGTGAACTGAAGGGGTTTTTGACCGAAACTAGTTTTCACTAATCATTTATTGACATGTACATTTTAGACTTATAGTAAGGGTACTTTACCTTAAATATATTCCTACGATTTCAAACATTCATTATTATTTTTTCCATTGGAAGACTTCAAAAGTGAATAGAATTTTTAGCAATGTTACCATTACTCACTAGTAGCCCAAAAAGTGTGATTTTTTTTCCAATCAATCTAATCTCAATCTAAATGATTGTAGAGGGGGAAAAGCAATAAAGTTTTAGCTTATTTATTAAGAGATCAATGATTAGATTTAAGTCATGTAAAATGTCATAACTTTACATCACAATAATTTTGCAAGGCTTACAGCAGATGTGTTTAAACATTGTTTTATTTTGTATAATGGTTACTAATCATTATATTATTTTTACTATAAAATGATTCCTTTTTCATATAATTTATATAACACACGTCTCTTGTCTAACAACCTATAATAGTGTCCATATGATCTATATTTATGGAATATAAAACTACGAGCGTGTCTCTGTCCTCTGATGTAAACATGGTGGGAGTTTGACAAACACGAGAGAAGATTAGGAACACGAGCGTAGCGAGTGTTTCTCTTGCTTCTCGAGTGTTTTGCAACTCCCACCGTGTTTATATCAGAGGACAGAGACACAAGTGGCCATTTTACATTTTCTTTTATAACATTTTCCGAGCGAAAAGCAAATTTTGCCGGTAAGCTACTGTGTCTCTGACCTCTGATATAAACACAGTCGTCAGCCAATCAAAGCGCTCGTTATATATATCGAAAATTTTATAATGCCCGATAGACAATGTGCACTGAATGCCATTTTAGTGCAACAAAGCATGATGGGAAGTCCTTGCACTTTCTCATGTCTGCTAAAACAATCCAACATGTACTTCTAGTAAGCTGTTTATTTGCTTTCCCTTCACAACAATCAAACCAGTTGGGCTGTTTCTTCAAAAATAATTTAAAACAGCTTTTAGGGAGATTTATTTGAGGGGCTATATATTATAATAAATTGTCAGAACGCTAAAATTTCAACTCCCAGTCATGCTTTATTGTACGAAGTGACATTGCTGCACATTGCAATAGTCCCAATTGTTCAAATTTCCTCAAGAGATTTAAGAACAATAATTGAAAAACGTTTTGGGGCAATTGGGGAGTTAAAATTGTTTATGTGGACACTATAGGATTATTATTAAATCGAATAGTACAATATTTATTTAKGAACAGGAGACAGATAGCAAATGCAACATTTGTGCAGTAGCCTAGTATGCAGAGTTGGTTTTGGCCAAAGGTCTGCCAATGAATGCAGGCTACATTTGTGTGCAACAACTTAAGTGTAATAGTAAGGCAAAGTTTAATATTTTTCACTTCAGATGTTAGCAGCAGAAAATAGGATTTACAAATTTAGATGATTACTGCCAAGCAATGCTCACAGAAAATGCTTGATTTATTATACTCAGTGACCTACAGTAGGAATTTAGCTTTTTTGAAAAAAGATACAATTTGTATAATTGCTTCCAGAAGAGAGCAATGCAGTACATGATTCATTTGATTGTCAGAACCCCAATTTTTGTGATCATGATTTTTAGTAGAAAAATTGACTTCAATGCAGTGCATAAGAAGCAAARCAAATAAATAAATTTATTTGTAGGTATTTGTAATTATTACTAATTAATGTAAATATTTATATCTCATGACAAGTACATGTATATACATACTGTCTTTTTCGTATGTGAAAGTATTAAAACTTAATGTACAAAATATGCATTATCAATTTTTTTTATTACAATGATATATTATTATATTAATATATAAATAATAAATTGTGTACTTTGCAAAAACAATAACCCAAATAAACTATATAATAAACCAAGAAAAGGAGTTTCAATATACAGTAGCTTATTGATAAAAAAATAATTATAATAATTAAAAATGAAAATTAAACTACAGCATAAACTTCAAACTTAAACTTTGACATTCCAATTGCACACATGATTATTTTTTTTAAATAATATAACTTATTAAAGTTGAATGAGAATGCAAAAAAAGAAATAGCCTTGGAACTGACATGAGGCAGCCACCTCATCTGTGTTGTGATAGTCTCGATCCTTCATTAGTTACCTGCACGATCTTGAAAGGTAGGCGTGCCTTTGCATCGAAACAAGATGACCATTGAGCATGCAATGATAGAAACCTTTCACACCTACAGACAATTATTCTTAGGTATCTATCATTGCCCGCTCAAGAGTCGTCTCACTTCGATGTAAAGGCACGGCTAGCTTTAAATATGGCGCAGGTAACCGTGAAGTYTAGACTATTTTAATGTTATCAACTAAGAAAATTAAATTTATAAGCTAAAATTCCTGCCACTGAAACTTCAGCCACTATTTTACAGTAGTCTTGCTTTTGATATTAAAACATATTATTYGGACCTCAATTTACATTTACTAGATCTTTGATCTGTTAAATCCAATGCTACTGTATATGACCTCTTTTTTTATGTCCTTTTATTCAGTGATGTATTGGAATTCTTTAATCGGACCTGAAAAAATTATAATCAATAAAATAATGATGCTACATTAAYGTTACAACTGGCCTGCTCTGCAGGGAAAGAGGGAGAAAAAGAAAGGGATTAAAGCACTGGGAAGAGCAGGGAAACAACTCTAACTAGTAGGTTTATTTGTATAAAATACTAATATTGCTATTATTATTTAAGTAATAATTCATTATTAATGTGGAATAATAATAATATAATATTGAACTTGAAGAATTTAGCCAGTCTTTGTCATGGCCACAATTTAGTGTCAGGGAGGGGACACGAAGCATATGTCATTAATGAGGTTGAAAGAGGACTATCAAAAGTTACGTGTCATTAAGAGGCTGAGACAAACAAATAAAGAGCTTAATGTGACCTCACTGCATGAATATGAATATACCTTGGATTGTTTTAAATATCTAATTCTATTCCAGACTGCTTTGCAAGATGCAATAAGCTGCAAATGAAACATTCAAATCAATGATCTATCAATTTTTAGCTGGTCGGGACTGGAATGCACTGTGAATTATATTTAAAAGTTAATTAATTTGCAAATGGATTGAAAATGATGGGCATAATTATAAATGGACACCAATAATTTAAAATCTTGAAAAAAATGCAAATATGAAATAATAAAGACGAAAAAACTTAAGATTTTCAAAGCACAAAAAATAAACAAAATTTGTATTCAATTTACAAAATTATGCAAAGAATAATCAAGACACAAATTAAACCTTTTGATCATGCATGCCGTTGCTTGCCAATGCATATTGTTTCCTGTAAAAACAAGAAAACTGATGACTAAACATTACAAGTCATGAAAACAAGTATACCCTGTCAAGGTTACACCCTTGTCATGAAAAATGTCAAAAACAGTGGTATGGTTGGGCTCCCTGTGTTTCTACTGTCGGGCTCCCTGTGTATCTAAAGTCTAACCTTATTATCTTGATTGCTGTTTTCAGGTGACCCCTTTGAACCAGACTCATTGCCATAAATACTTGGCATTGAGCCACCAATACTGGGTTATTTAGTCTTCCAGCAATAAATAGTTGATGTTTTGAAATATGTCCTGCCTTTTCTGACTGAAAAGTGAAATTTAGCAGATATTTACTAGAGTTTATAAGAAATACATAAAATATGTAATCAAGGCAGCTGTATGAGAAGGAGGGAAGTCAAAAACAATTAAACCCCCTTACTACTTAAAGCACCTAATATTTTGCCAATTTTAGGTCACTTCTCAGCAGATAACCCCTGAGAAATTTACAACAAAATCTGTCATAAACAAATTAACAAAGCTAAGTTGAAAACCATGAAACTCTTGTGATATCTTGTGCYTGGTTTATTATAAGGRCACTGGTGACAGGAGGACCTGCATGATTTTTGAGGAAATATGTTCTTGGTTTTACATGCACTTGTTTGGTTGCAGTATTGCAAACCTCTCGAAATTTCTGTACAGGTATGAATCATAACAATATATCTTGATTGACAACTTACACATATCGGACTCTGTTCACCTAATGATGAGTATGCACCACCAAGAGTTGATAACCAGGACATGAGGTCACTTAGCAGCATACATTCTATGACCAGTGGTTGTAGTCTCTTGCACCTGATCCAGAAATGATGTTGTTAGCTTCATAACTGCAGCCCGAGTTTCATCCAGCATTTATTCGTAAACACCATTATACTTTCTTATCGAAGAGAATAAACAGGACATATGCAGAATACATAACTCGGGTTAAACTACAGTTTAAAACTGAGCTATTTCCAAGTGTCATGTGGCAAAAGGATTTTACATAAAAATGATACAGAAAAAAATATTGCTTTATGGTATTCCTTAAAGCCTTCTACATGTATCTGGGGATGAATCTTCCCACTCAGGATTGATGAATCGATGTGCATCAGGCATCGCTTATTATGCAACCTTTTAATATTCTCTTAAAATTTATTTCTGCAAATGTCAAATACATGTAGATAAATCACAAAATAATGTTATTGTATAGGACTTCACAAATTGTGTAAATTGATAAGACTTGCATGATATGGGACATTGCAAGCTGAAATTAACTAGTGTGAATTGCCCAATAGAATATGTCCTGKGCATTTTAAGTAGTGGCATCCTGAGTTTGTGCAAGCACTAGCAGCTAGGTGAAGGATTCACTTACCATTTTATATCAGATTCTATACTAAAAGCACCATACAACAATTCAAATTTAATATTTAACTTGAGAAATCGATGACTCTTGGACTTGACATCACTGTGCAGTAGCCTAAAGTACTTTTCTTGATGTTCAAAGCTACATAGACATGAACTATAACCTAAGATAAAATGAAACTTGAGTTGGCTAAACAAAACAAACAAATAAGCTCTTAAATATTATTTTCTGTCCGGATAACATTGTGGTTGTGGCAACTTAAATGATTTCCCTATAGAAAACAGAATGCACCTATGACATGGATTCCCATTACACGTGAATATCGTTGGAGATTGTTTCCCGTCAAGAAACATGTTAATGTAGCCCCACGAACTGACAAACGAGTTTATAAGAGAGTGGAGCTCAGCATATGCAAGTTCATTCAGGACAGAACGAATTAATTGTGCACCAAAATGGTTGCGGCAATGACTTTTTTACTTTAAATTCTACATCTCACCTAAAATTTTCTTCTCCCTTTTCCAATTGCTAAATAACCATAACGTAAAGTTCAAACTAAATGTGTCTGATTTGTTAAGAAGAGTCCACAATATGCTTGCTAAAATTGTGTCAACTTGAAACCAAAGACAAACTGTTTTGCCCTTCAAATATGCATCATTTCGACTACTYGCTCTTGGAAAGACACCGCATCTCACAATTGGTCTTTTCGCTTTCTCAATAGGCTTCAAAGGATCTCTAAATGAAGATAGAATTGGAAGAACTTCGCTCTGATTTGGATTAGAGGAATCCATGTTTGCCAGACACAAATTGTCCAGGCGTTGCATGTTTGTATGAGCATAAGGCTTGGGCGCTAGTGAGTTAGCACGTATTTCGCAATGTTTGAGTCGAGTACTATTTCGCTAAAATTGTCCTATACTGTGACTTTTGTCGCAAATTTAGTCAATGTGAAGCATGTAATTCCATATAATTGCGAAAAAGACACATAAGATCAATTTTTATAAGCGTAACGCTATATTAATTGAAATCGTCGACYACTYTCATCAAGTGTCAGGATGGCCGAGCGGTCTAAGGCGCCAGACTCAAGGTCGTACCTTYCCATGCTGCATGGGTTCGGGCGTTCTGGTCTCCGAATGGAGGCGTGGGTTCGAATCCCACTTCTGACACATTTTTTTTTCTTTTTTTTTTCACAAGTTCCGATTTTCGTATTTAGGTGAAGGACTTATTTTTATTTCTGATTTCGGTATACATGAAAATATTTCGAAGAAAAACATACAAACTGCCTTTTTAACGTTACCTTTTTTTAGTCCCCCCCCTACTGTTTGGACCTTTTCATTTGATTTCAAATATTTTTTTATATTTCTTTTGTGTAGATTAGAAATTTGTTCGTGCTTGAAGACAAAAGTTACTCAGTCGAGAAAGATGTTTTTCTAMGTTTCTTTACCCGTTTCAGTGACAACTCAGTCTTGGGTTTCCTGTGGTTTGATTTAGATTCAATTTCCGCATTCCTGATGCTAGTATTTATGACAAGCTGCACGTCTTTACCAATTGCTGTAA